GAGCGGAGCGCGCGGAGCGGAGCGGGGCAGCGCGTCCGGGCGGCCGCAAGAGGCGGGCCTGGAGCGCGGAGCGGGGCCTCACGCGGCGCTCTGTTGTCCCCGCAGAGGACGAGATGTTCTCGGACATCTACAAGATCCGCGAGGTGGCGAACGGCCTGTGCCTCGAAGTGGAGGGCAAGGTGAGTGCGGGCCCGTCCCGCGTCCCGCCTCGGACGGGGCGTCGCGCCCCGCGCAAGGAGGGGCGCCGCGGGCGGGCAGAGCCGTTAAGTGTCTCGATGTCTCCGACTCTAGATGGTCACCAGGACAGAGGGTCAAATTGATGACTCTCTAATTGGTGGCAATGCCTCTGCCGAAGGTCCTGAGGGAGATGGAACAGAAGCCACGGTCATCACCGGCGTCGACATAGTGATCAACCACCACCTCCAGGAAACCAGCTTCACAAAAGAGTCCTACAAGAAGTACATCAAGGACTACATGAAAGCGTAAGTGCCGGTGCTGTGCGGCTTTGGGTTTTTTTTTTGTTTGTTTGTTTTCCTTAAACCAGGTTGCAAAATGTCCAGGTCATCAGGACTACTCTTTTAACAACATCTACTGAGGATAAAGTTTACCCCTGCTGTTACCCATTGCCAACCTGGCTGTGAACTTCAGGAGTGTCTTAATACTTGGCAAAACAGCAGCAGTAAAGAGTTGATAGCGGGATATCCAAGTTTGTCTTGGCTGAATTGCAGCACAGGCTTGGTCATGTGCTTTGGGTGTTATTTGTAACCTGGCTGTTGTCTTTCTGATCCCTCCTGTGCCAAGCCCTCCTGTGGAGAGGGATGGGGTAGCAACGAAAGCTACCAGAAATTTGACAGCTTGACACCGAAAGCATCCATGACAATGTCTATGACCGGATGTTTTGCCTAATTCAAAGGATAATTTCTAATGCTCGCCTCTAAATTAGAGTAGGGTGAAGGTACTGTCTTTGTGACCCTGATGGATCAGCACTCTGGCTGGTGTGAAAATGGCTTGCTAAGGTCTGTCCAGCCCAGATCTAAAAGTAAAATGAGCCAGATGCGAGCGACAAAGGCTGATCCGCAAGTTCTCTCCAGGCAAAGTTAAATTTTTGGCATCTTACAGGAGTGGGGAGGCATAGCCAGACTGAGCAGTTTCTCTGCTAGCGACTATTTCTGGTACGAAGTGATGCTGCACAGTCAAGTTAACAGACTTGTTTTCAAACTCTTCTCCTAGAATCAAAGCCAGACTTGAGGAACATAAGCCAGAGAGAGTAAAGCCTTTCATGACGGGAGCTGCAGAACAAATCAAACACATTCTTGCCAACTTCAAAAACTACCAGGTAAAGAAACTTACGTTCACTCACAGCAGTGATATGAGCTGAAATCAGGTTAGTTGTTCAAATAGTTAGTTGACTTTTGAGGGCTCCTGTTATAAGGACATCTAATATACCCTTCCCTTAGAGTATCAGAGTGCTGAAAGATAGGAAAAATATTGAATGGCTTAAAAGTTTCGAGGTTATCTTTCAAATGTATATCTTTTGAATATAAAGTTGAAAAGTTTTGGCAGGCCACGTTGGTCCCTGCCCTCTTTTATTCTGCTATTCACAGCAATGTGGTGCTGACACTTGTTGAAATGGATTTGAGGCTACAAGTTGCAGGAGGCAAAACCCCTGCAGTCGGTCAGGGTGACCTCCCCCTAAACTGAGCTCAGAAACATAGTAGCTTCTGTGTGTGCTGGGCACTGTCTCCTGCAAATAGCTCACTGGATGTGTTAGTAACATGTTTCTTTGAAGTTCTTTGTAGGTGAGAACATGAATCCAGATGGTATGGTGGCTCTCCTGGATTTCCGTGAGGATGGCGTGACCCCATATATGATTTTCTTTAAGGATGGCTTAGAAATAGAGAAATGTGTAAGTACTGACCTAAGTCTAGCTGTGGTCATGACTATGGTTAGCTTTTTCAACACATCACTTTGTCTACTATGTTCCTGTTGAATTTTATAGTAGTTACCAGTTTAAGAACATAAAGCTCATGTAAGTACAGCCTGATTGCTGCTGTATGCTTTGCTGTGTAGTGGAAACTTCCCTCCTATACTACAGGATTGTACTAAAGGGGAGACATATTTTCGCTGCAGTGATTCATAGTGATTTAATAGTCAGGAAATGCAGAAAGAGATGCATTGGTGAGAGGGGTATTTGGTTTTGAATTGTTAGTTTAAAGACTAAAGTATCCTCTGAATTGAAGCACTTCTATTTTGGTTTTGAATTGTTAGTTTAAAGACATTATCCTCTGAATTGAAGCACTTCTACTTTGGAGCCCTCCTGGGTGGGTTATGGAGCACCTTAAATGATGGTTTTCCATCCTCTTTCACTACTTAATCTGATGATGCTCTTATTTTGTTACAGAAGAGCAGTCTGTTAAAATATTGCCCTAAATTTGAGCACACAGTGATACTTGACTGAATGCTTAACCTTATTCTATCTCCAGCTGTCTGCCTTGACTTAATTATTCTGGATTTGCCTGTGGTTGCAATGAAACAGTGTTCAGCTTTTGAATACGTGAATATTTTTGCCTTATTTCTGAGAGCTCTGTGATTCAGTAGTGACTAGCAGTGTGGGGTCACCAGTCTTGCCTTGCCCGGTTATTGCAGACTTATGAAGCCTGTTTATAGCCAGCTAAATTTATCTGTAAAGCCTCTTGCAAGCTTTTTGGTATGCGTGTCATCTAAAGATGAACCAACTTGCAGTTGGGCACAATAAGCCACTAGAGGAACACAATTTTATGGGCAAAAATAGACATAGCAGCTCCTGCAGCCTGACTTGAGTGTGATGTCTGTCATGGTCTCCAGACCAGGCGGTAACCTGGAAGCAGCTCCTCGGAGCAGAGCTTGTGGGCAGACCTTTTGGATGTGTAATGGGAATAATCACATTTGCTTCTGGATGGGTTAATTACCAGTAGGCCATTCCAGGGGGGGAAAAATAAATCTGCCACAGCTTCTTGATTTAAATTATGAGAAGCAGAACATAAGTCATAAGCTGTAATACCAGTGGAGGACATGCTGTTATTAAAGAGGAAATGTGAAACTTTGTGTCAGGCAAGAAGGATGTGAATGAGCCTTCTCTCTGGCTTGGCCAAAGGCTGCTGTTAGTGTCTGCTTGGTGCTCAGCATCCTCTGATAGACCATGAGCAATTTGCCTGTTGCTCTCTGGTTTGCACTGAGATGCAAAAATAACTTCCTTGCGCTTTCTGCCTGCCTGACTGTGTGGCAGCTCAGATTGAATTAGGGAACACACAAATGAAGTTACAGAAGCTGAACATGATTGTCGTGGTCCCCAACTAACAACTGCTGCTCTCGTTACAGTAACGAATCAAACAGTCTGATTTTTGGATCACCCGTCGTCATAGCTGGCTGCTGTTTCTTCTTCATCAGCACAACACCAGGACTCGGCAATGTCTAACAACTGGACTGATGTCATCTTGAGCTTTATTCACTTATTTTGACCCTGATTTGGAGTGGAGGCATTGTTTTAAAAAGAAAACAAAACCAAACATCTGTCATGTAGGTTGTCTAAAATAAAACTCATTTAAACCCATTCTAGGTGATGCCTTTTGGTCTAGTGTGTTTCTTAAGGTGACTTTCCAGGACAGGTTGCTGCAAGATCTTTACCCAAGGATCTGATACTGCCACTAGCATAGCCTGGTCCTGGGTCACTGCGACTTGACTGTCTTCAGATAGACTTCATGCAGTTTCTACATGTGGCACTGGAGTGCAAGAGCAGGCTGAGGTGGATCAGGCAGAGCTCCAAGAAGTGTCATCAGAAGGAAGTGGACCTTCATCTCTCACAATTGTACAGACTTCTGTCTTTGGAAGAGGTATCAAAGCTAATACAAAGAGAAAACCCAAAATGGAATGTGCTATTCAAGCTGAGTGCTGGCTGAGCTTCTTTGTCAGACAAGGATCTTTGAGTCTGTCCTCAGTTACAGGATGGCTTCTTCAATTCTCCTACTTTAATCTTGGAGCAAGAGTCCACCACCAGCACTCTGCCTCTGAGCACAGGTAGTGGGAACACAGTGTGGGAAAATACTGGCTTTTGCACTGCCTAAACCACATGCCTGGTTGTGGTACTAGTTCTTCTGCAGTTGGCAGGTATTCAGGAGTGGATTAAATAAACTCAAAAGTCCTGTAACTTCAACTCTTTCCTTGCTTTTAATTCAGGGAGAGAAATGGCTGAAGAGTATAGGGCTCTCTTGGGATTATTAATTATGTAGAAGGGTCATGTCTGGCTTTAAGGTTTACCTGAGTATTTATGATTTGCTCTTCCAGCTGCGTTCCACCCTGGGCAGTGCATCTATTTGACAGACCTGGAGCAAACATCCGTTGCTCTTCTGGTTCTTGAAGAGATGCAACAGTAACAGGTTCCTTGCGCTTTCTACCTGTCTGGCCTGGTGGCAGCCTGGATTGAATAAAGGAATACAAGTGCTGTTGTAATGCCCAGGTGAGGAAAAGGAGGGTTTGCTGCTGGTGCTCGACAAGAAACCCATGGCTGCCTGCCCTGAGCAAAGCTGTGCTTGTTTAAGGAACATTGCCATGAACTCTTATTTGCCACTACAGCGGTAGTGCTACAGGAGATGCAGCTATTTAAAATGGGGAGGGCATGACTCACACATCCTGTGTTGATAGAGGCCTCCAGCCTTAAGATATATTGGATTTTTAGCATCTTGTCAGGCTTGCGTGAGGCATTTGCCCTGCCTGAGGGCTGAGGTACAGGCAGCTGCTCCAGGGGTGAGATAGGCTGGAGGCAGCAGACTGCAATGAGAGCGATACCGTCTGCGGAGGTGGGAGCACAGGGTGCCCGGAAGGGTTATCCCTGGGGTTACCATCTCTTTTAAACATGCCCTATTTTAGTTCTGTGAGGGCATTTCCTGTAGCTGCCACAAGGAAGGGTCTGGAGCCAGCGGCACGTGGGGCCGTGACGCTGTTTTGGCGTAACCTGTGCACGCGGATGAAAGCTGCCCCCTCGGGAAGCAGCGGGAAGGCAGCTGGGAGGGAGTCCAGATAACCCCCCGGGAGTCTGTTCTGGTCCCCTGGAGGAGGCCTGGCTTAACCAGGACGGTTAATTCCTGCCTCCCCCTTCCCTGGCTGCTCAGTGAGTTCTGCCAGGACTGCAAACCATGGGCAAGGCGTCAGGCGAGGGCCTGTGCATGGGGAGCAGGGGCTGCCCTGGCAAGGGGATGCTGAAGAGAGGGGGTGTTCACACCTCACTCTCATGGCAGTATTTAACAGATATATAAACGTGCCTAACAAGCTTGTGAATCTCGCAGTGGGGAAGGGGGAAGTGGTTTTCCTGTTGGCTGCACCGTACTTGCCAAAAATGCAGGGCTGGCTGCCGTCCCTGGAGGAAAGGGGCAAGTGTGGCCGTGGCAGTGCCAGGCCGCGAGTCCCGCTGGACGGAGGGTGGATGGTGCCGCTTTCTGGTCCGTGGAAACCTCTGCTTGCAGGGCTGGGCAGGCCGTGCGAGAAGGGGGAGGAAAAAACCCAAGGCCAAGAGAAATCCTGCCCGTTTGGCTGGGCGCTTCTCATGCAGGGACGTGTCTGGGCGCGCGTCCTGCCCGGCCCTGTAGCACCCGCTCGCGGCCTGTCCTCCCGCGGCGCCTGCGCGGCCCAG